AGAAGGAGATACGAATTTGCCACAAAGATTCTGCATGTCCTCACCAATACCATACTTGACATCAAGAGGCTTGACTTTGGAGATGAGGGCCACCCCACTGTAGCCTTCCTTGTCATCAGAGCAGGCCCAGTACTTGTGGGGATATTCCGCCAGATCCCGGATTTCAGCAGGCAGCTGTTTCTCTGAACATTTGGTCTCCTGTAAGCAGAGTACGTCTGGATTCTCCTCGCATACCCACTGTGGGATGATACAGCTTTAAGTGAGAGTCTCCTGACTGCCATATTCTTAAACAGAAGTTTAATAATTTGCAAAGGATGGAGCGGGGCAGGATTAGTTTGCCCCACAGAACTACAATGGGCCCTTGGTATCTGCTGGATCTTGATTGTCCAAGACAAATCCTTGATTGTCCAGGATTTGGTTCCAAAACCCCTTGTGGTTAACAAAAATCCACGGATGCTCAAGTCTCATTAAATACAATGATGACGCAAAATGGTGTCACTGATATAAAATGGCAAAATCAAGGTTTGCTTTTTGGAAGGGAATATTTTCAAGCCATGGATGGTTGAACCTTGGATGCAGAATCCATGGATACAGAGGGCCAACTAGTTGTTTTACAAAAGGCATACAGTGTGCTGTTGGATACAAATTCTCCCATATGGAAGAAAAACAGAATATTAAATAAATTTATAATTGTCAGGCTAGGACCAGGCAAGACTTGGCAGCCATTCAGACTACATAATTATAGCACTATGATTCCACTTTAAACTGCCATAGTTCCATCCTATGGAATCTTGAGATTTGTAGTTTAGAGAGGAGTATTTAGAATTCTCAGCCAGAGAGCTTTAGTGCCTCACCAAACTACAAATGCCAAGACTCCACAGTGTGCAGAAGCAAGGCAGTTAAAGTGGAATTATAGAGATGTAATTATATGTTGTGAAAGGATTTTTGGGTTCAAATTATTACCAGCACACAGCAGCTATGAAGATCCCCAGGCTTTGGGCTACTTGCTTTCTCTTAATCTAACCTATGATCTGTATAGGCCACCTTCCTGACAATCAAGACAGCTGATAATTTAAAATAATGCCACGTAACCAAAGAGGCACAAGCCAAAAGGACACGGGTAAGAGGAAAATAAGCATATTTGGTTTCCCAATTCTTACATGTTACATAATTCATGCATGCAAATGGCCACCAAGGAAGAGGGAGAAAGCAGTGGTAACTGACTGGTAACCTACGTGCTTTCATATACAAGAGTTCCTTTCACATTACTGAATTATAGCACTTTGATTCCACTTTAACTGCTATGACAACATCTTATGGAATTGTAGGATTTGCAGTTAGAGAGGAATGATCTACCTGAGGGCTCCAGTGTCTCACCAAATTACAACACCCGGATTCCATGAGATGTCACCATGACATACAGTGGAACCATAGTGTTATAATTATATAGTGTGAAAGGACATCGAGATGTGAGAGATCCACTGCCAATCAGCATAGGTCAAGGATTCAGAATGTGATCCACTCTGGATAATGTTGGACTCCAACTCCCATTGTCCCTCCCCATTTGCATATGGCTGATGGAAGCTGCAGTCCAACAACACCTGCATGGCCACATGTCATAGCTACATGATACAAAAATAAAAGATGAATGTTTTAAAAGGACTAGTAAATGCAAGTGTTCTGCTTGTTTAGAGGCAATGTGAATCAGAGATGAGGTATCTTTGTGTAGACAGATGACACTGAGCTAGACAGAGCAATCTTTGGACTCCTTATAAGGCAGACTCCTATATTCCTACTGAGAAGCACATTCTGGTGATGAGGCACAGTCTGTCATAACCAAGCCAACAGAGGGACTTTGATGCATATCCTCTCTCTTAGACCCAAACCTATTTAAATCTCTGGAGTGATAAGGAATCTGTGCCCCCTGAGATGTTCTTGGACTGCAACCCCCATCAGTCCTAGCCAACAGAGCCAATGGTAAGGAACGATAGCAGTTGCAATCCAATGGCATCTAGAAAGACAAATATTTATCATCCATTGTTTTGTGGTTGTGTGCCTTCAAAGTCAGTTCTGACTTATGGTAACCCTAAGCATTTTTTGGGCAAGATTTGTCAAGTGGATTTGCCCTTGCCTTCCTCTGAGGCTTAGAGAGTGTGACTTGCCCAGGGTCACTTAGTAGGTTTCCATAGCCAAGCAGGGATTAAAACCCTGGTCTCACCAAGTTCAAATCCACTATACTATACTATACTACTATACCACACTGGCTCTCTTCCCATCCAATCCATATCTTGAAGGAAATGTACCCTAGAAATATAAAGTCAGGCATTAACCTAGAGCCTCAGCTTTGCTATTTCCTAACTGTCTCAAGGCCTGGAGTTGCAGCCTCTTTAAACTATAAATCTGGTTGCTATATACTACAGCCTTCTAATTGCTTCTTGATGAGCAACTATAATTATTTTCCTTGAGAGTTGCAACAATTCTTGAGCATCTCCATAACAAATCCCAACTAAGACTACAAGGCAGCAATGAAGTAGAAAATGAAGTGGAGGATGGACAAGGGGTAGAAACTACGAAGCACTCCTCTTCTGTCCCAATGTTCTTACAATACACGGCCACATGTGATCAAAAGACATGGAACACTTTTACACTCCACTATTATAGTACTATGATTCCACCTTAACTGCCATGGTTCCATCCTATGAAATCCTGGGATTTGTAGTTTCACACATAAGCCCTGATCTTTTGCCAAATTACAATTCCCAGGATGCCACAAGGATGCAGGTTCTTGTACAAGTTAAGTATCCCTTATCCGGCATTCCAAAATCCAAAATACTCCAAAATCCAAAATTGCCCACGTGGGTAACTGAGATAGGGACATCTTTGCTTTCTGATGAATCACACAAACTTTTGTTTCATGCACAAAATTATTAAAAATATTATGTATGAAATTACCATCAGGCTATGTGTACAAGGCGCATACAAAACATAAATGAATGTCATGTTTAGACTTGGGTCCCATCTC